TCATCCATCATCATCATCATCATCATCATCATCATCATCATCATCATCATCATCATCATCATCATCATCATCATCATCATCATCATCAGCAGCAGCAGCAGCAGCAGCAGCAGCATCATCATCAGCAGCATCAGCATCATCATCAACATCCTACGCTTCGTGGCCCCATAGGGAACTCCACCGATAGTCCCAGTGGCACCGCCCGCATGCGTCAGCCACCACCCAGCACAGCCATCGCCCCCCTGCGTTTCACCAACCGAGTACAGCGCGTCGTGGTCCCATAGGGAGCCCCACCGAAGGTCCCAGTGGCACCGCCCGCATGCGTCAACCACCACCCAGCACAGCCCTTGCTCCCTATGTTTCACCCACCCAGTACAGCGCGTCGTGGCCCCATAGGGAGCTCTACCGAAGGTCCCAGTGGCACCGCCCGCATGCGTCAGCCACCACCCAGCACAGCCATTGCTCCCTGCGTTTCACCCACCCAGTACAGCACTTCGTGGCCCCATCGGGAACTCCACCGAAAGGTCCCAGTTTCACCGCCCGCATGCGTCAGCCACCACCCAGCACAGCCCTCTCCCAGCATTTCACCCACCCAGTGCAGCGCTTCGTGTCCCCATAGAGAGCCCCACAGAAGATCCCAGTGGGACCGCCCGCATGCGTCAGCCACCACCCAGCACAGCCATTGCTCCCTGCGTTTCACCCACCCAGTACAGCGCTTCGTGGCCCCATAGGGCACTCCACCGAAGGTCCCAGTGGCACCGCCCGCATGCGTCAGCCACCACCCAGCACATCCCTTGCTCCCAGCGTTTCACCCACCCAGTACAGCGTTTCGTGGCCCCATCGGGAGGTCCACTGAGGGCCCTACTGGCATCGTCCGCATGCGTCAGCCACCACCCAGCGCAGCGTTTCATGGCCCCATAGGGGGCTGGTCCCAGTGGGACCGTCCGCATGCGTCAGCCACCACCCAGTACAGCGCTTCGTGGCCCCATAGGGAACTCCACCGATGGTCCCAATGGGACCGCCCACATGCGTCAGCCATCACCCAGTCCAGCGCTTCGTGGCCCCATAGGGAACTCCACCGATGGTCCCAATGGGACCGCCCGAATGCGTCAGCCACCATCCAGTACATCGTTTCGTGGCCCCATAGGGAGCTTCACAGAGAGACCATATTTGCACCGCCCGCGTGCGTCGCCCACCACCCAGTACTCCACTTCGTGGCCCCACTGATTGGGAGCTCCACCAAGCCCCAGTGGCACCGCCCGCATGCGCCCCCCCCTCACCCGGTAAAGCGTTTCGTGGCCCCGCAGGGAGCTCCAGTGGCCCGCCCGCATGCGACCCCCCACCCGGTGCAGCGTTTCGTGGGCCCACACGGAGCTCTACCGAAGGCCCCAGTGGCACCGCCCGCACGCGTCCCCCCTCCCAATACAGCGCTTCGCGCCCCATAGGGGGCCCCACCGAAGACCCCACTGGCACGCATGCGTCGGCCACTACCAAGTACAGTGTTTCGTGGCCCCGTATGGAGCTCCACAGAAAGACCCCAGTGGCACAGCCCGCGTGCGTCTCCCCCAACCAGTACAACGTTTCGTGGCCTCATCGGGAGTTCCAGCGAAGGGCACCGCCCGCCTGCGTCCGCCACGCCCAGTACAGCGTCTCGTGGTGGCCCATAGGGAGCCCCACCGAATGCCCCAGTGGCACCGCCCGCATGCTTCTCCCCCACTCATTACGGCACGTCCCTCACGCGTTTCGTGGCCCTATAAGAAGCTCCACCGCAAGCGGCACGCACAACGCGTTGCTCACAACTGCAGATGGTTGGGTCCTTCGCCAGGATAATGCTTTCAACATTTGCGTCGCCGAGGCCACGGTCCCCCCGTAAATTACGCAATAGTCGCGTCCCCGAGGCCACGATCCTTCCTAAATTATGCAATGCTCGCGTACCCGAGGCTACGATCCCTTGTAAACTACGCAATGCTCGCGTCCTCGAAGTCACAAACCACAGTAAATTACATAATGCTTGCGTCACCGAAGCAACGCGATCTTTCGCGAATGACACATACTCGCGCCCTCAAAGCCACGATCTCGATGTAAATTACAATGCGCTCGCGTCCCCGAAGCTACGATCCCTGGTAAATTACGCGATGCTCGCGTCCCGAAGCCACGTTTGCCAGGAAGTTCGCAGCGCGAGCTGTTTCAATTTTGCTGTGCAAGCCGCAACGTACGGCATTGACCCTCGCGCGAAGCCCCAACATTGCTTCACGACGGCTCCCTTGCATCCCAACTCAACTCTGGCGTGCCCCGTTCTAAGAGAGAGGGGGCCGGCGGCAGTGGGCGAAGCTCTTGCGGACATACATACATCTGCCATCGTGCCTCTGGCACGAAGTGGAATACCCCAAGGCTCGTGCGGCCTTAGGAGGTAAAGGGTTTGCAAGGTGCTGAGAAGCCAAGACCCCCGATGTCCTGGGCGCTCTTGGGCGATATTGTTTGTTTGCCATTTTTTGAGGGGGGGCGGGGGGGGGGCGATACTGGGCGGTGCGGGGGTGTTTCGCGTGGGCCTCCAGGACGGCCCCCTCGCTCAGGAGGGCCCCAAGACCGGGCAAGAAAGCCCCAGGAGGCCGCCCAGACGGTCCAGGAGGGCACAGACTCACCGAAAGATCGTTACACAAGACGCCCAAGTGCCTTCAGACGGCCCAAGAGGCCGCGAAGACGCCTCCAAGAGCACGCCCAGGAGGGCCCCAAGAGGCAAAAATCAAGGATTACCCTACGGTTTTGCGTGCTCGCCTTTTCGGCTTCCCGACGCTCCAAGACGGCCCAAGCGACCCCAATATTCCCCCAAGACAACCGAAGAGGCCTCCAAGAAGGCCCCGAAACGGCCCACGAGGGCCCCAAAACGGCCCAAGAGGGCCCCAAGACGGCCCCGACAAGGGGCCAGACGGGAACCCCGATCGGACATTTCGAGCCCTCGGCCCCGAGAAGCCCCCGGAGGGCCCCAAAAAGTCCCCAAGAGGCCCCCAAGAGGCCCCCAATAGACCCCAAGAGACCCCCAGGAAGGCGACTGTTCGTCTCGACGTTCCCGTTTGTTGTTGTGTGTGTTGCTTTGTGTGTTTCTTTGTGTCTTGCGGCGCGTGTTGTTCTGTCATACTGTGTTCGCGGATCCGCTACAATAGAACTCGATCATAGAACTCGATCATAGAACTCGATATGCAATTTTCTTACACACAAAAAACACGAGTGGAAATTCGGGCATTGAACTAGTGCTCGCAACGCACGCCACGAAAATCAATGTCCAAATCGCTGATACAAGGAATCCGAAAATAAAGCCGCACAAACGAACATTCAGAATCCACACATTGGGAGTCAGTTGTGTAAAACAGCCAACAACAAATATCCAGTCAAAGGGGGCCTGCTAAATGTTCGAGACGTCCAGAGAAGGAAAAAAACAAAAACAAGTATCCCAGCAAAGCAACCTGACAGCGATGTGTAGGAGCATATCTGGAAGCATTCCCCTTAAGATTCAGATGAGAATCCAGTTGTAGAATTCTGCCGTTCTCGCAGTCGTAGTCGCATTCGCGATGACAGTCGCAGTGGCAACGGCAGTCGCAGTCACAGCCTCAGCCTCA